TACCACCAAAGATATATCAGACCAAACCAAGCCTTTATAGTAGTGAGGTATCGAAAATCGAAATGGTGTATTTAAGTGTTTTACACTCACAAAAAAGAAACCTATCACTCTATAGGTATTTGAAGAACTTGTAGCATTCCGCCACAATTTAATTATTTGTATTGTTAGCCGACAATACTTAAAGAATGATAGGTTGTTTTTTTTTGTGAGTGTAAAACACTTAAATACACCATTTCGAATAATTTAAAACACGTCACGAAGGACGTCCTATAAACTTACATTAAAGGCGGTAATCTATTAATTATATTTTACTTCTCATTTATTTTATATGATTCATTGCAATAGTTTTTGTTTTTCTAAAGATGTGCTCAAAGTGTATACAGATATAACACCGTATACGTTGACGACTATAGACTGTTTATCGCAATGATATACTGTCGTTTAAGACGAAAGCAAAGGGTTTTTTCTCGGAGTCGATGTAAACGTTTTATTTTCTGATCGTTATCTGTTTAAGTGGCCGAGCTTGATAGTATATATATTTTTCAAGTACTCTTAATATCTTGAACTTTCTTTTGGAAAAATGATACGAAAACAAATACAAAATAAAACAATGTAAATTGTCCCTAAAAATGAAGGTCGATCTGAGCGCTCGACATTTTTTTATTTTTTACTTTTACACGAATATATCTATTTTTTAAATGAGTTCGAAAATCTGCATACCGAAATAGTAAGTGCACGTGACTGTTCTTTAAATCATTATCTAATGTTTATTTGTTGTATTGATTCGACTGCATGTCAGCACTTGCGCGAGAAACTTACATATTGTCTAATGTTCAAATGCCATTTAAACTTTTTTTTTAAATTTATATAAAATATTTTAAATTAAGACAAAAATGGCGAACGAAGTGGAAGATTGAAATCAATTTTTAGTGTCCAAGTTAGAGTTAAATTCATCATATTACTCACAGGTTAAATTTCTTTGAGCTTCGCGGCCTCTTTCGGAAACAGCAGGAACTAGGTAATATATTTATTAGAATAACTAATATTAACTTCCGATCAGAGCAAGTTATATACGTAAAGCGAAACTACAAATCAACCTGATAATTAGTAAAGCTAATTCAATACACGATTATTGTGCTTCTGATAAAAAAAATAAATACATTGTTTCGTCTGTGGCTCAGCGGTAAGTCTAAAAACCGGGTTTCGATACCTATGGTGGCCACAGCGTAGATAGTCCATTGTGTAGCTTTGTGCTTAACAACAAACAAACAAACATCTGTTGGATAACCTAACTGTTAACGATATTTTCGGCCGTAATCCCAATTTTTTTAGGTAAACCTTATCCTTATGTTCATTAGATATTGTTATTTTGGATTTAATTGGTAACAAATAGCACATAATAGATAGTCTATTCTGCTTATCAAACTTAATGACACATGTATTTGTGTTCTATTGAACAAAATTAAGTTTGTTAACTAATGGTCCTCGCAAGGTAACGTACACACAACCTGTGAGACCATTTGTTTCACAAACTTCTAGAAGGTTTCGTAATAAACTATCGTGTGCTTTAGCCCTGTTTGTTCTGTGTTTGCGTCCACGTGACTACATGGCCGACGTGTAAGTGATAGAGAAAAATATGTATTATTTAAAATTTGACAGTTTTGAGAAATATTACCTCCATTTGTAATTTACTCGTTAAGCCTAAAAGGGTTAATTGTAATTACCTTTCTCATCCGGTAGTCCTCTCGTTCTACGAGTTTGGCGTGTAAACAATCTAAATTTTCACACCGTATGACTTTAAAGGCTGTATACAAAAATCATCCAAAGTATGCCTTAAAAAGTTAAAAGTGTTAAAGAAGAAGCCTGAGCATTCATTCCTTTTTTGTAAAGGGTCTGTAGACTAGTTCTGAATCGATCACAAGTACTAACCACTTATGTTTAACCTTTATTTTTAGTCAATGCTAACAAGAAATAAAAGTGAAATGTTTATTCCAAGTAATGTTGACTGATAGCAGCTAAAATCCTTATGTTATATATATATTTTTTTTGTTGTTAAGAATTAAATAATAACAATAAAAAAGGAAAATAGACGCTAGGTTTTTTCACAAGTTACTTGTAGAAACCTGCCAGTCAATGTCTAATTGTTGCGCCATCTAGGATTTATTAACAGTATTAATAAATTTATTCGTGACTTTTCATCGTTACAATAAAGTTAGACAAGATTGACCTTTACTCTTTGGATAATAATGTGAAACTTTTGTTGTTATCTGGAGTGTAAAAAGTCGTTTTCTTTCTTTCTTTATTGCAAAATGTGTAAATCGCTCCATTTTGCAACACAAGTTTTGAATCTTATGTATTTTTAAATGTTACCAGATTAAAAGTAAGGCAGAAGGCTTAAAACATAAAATACTTCCAAAAGCATGTTAATCAATCTTCAATATTTAGCAACCTATGATATCTTCAGGATACACCAACAAACGATGTGGATGTGAAAGGATATTGTTGCTTTCGAAGTGAATCAAATTATTACAATTCGCTATTATTTAATTCAATTTAATTATACAAGTAACGTAAGTAACGTAATCCAATAAATTTGAAATTTTTGTACGTAATTCAACGTCGTCTTTTACACTTTTCATTGAATTAAGGTGCATGTTGGTGGATTTTACATATTTGTTTCTGTGATACTGTTTTACACTGTCTTTTTTTGAACTGCCACAACTTTTATTAAATATTCATATTTTGTTTCCAGTCTTGCACGTCGTGGCATCTAGTGGCCATCTTGATAATTAATAATATTCGAGCTCTATCCTGCGATTGTTTTAACACATATGCGTAATCCGCTGACCATCCTGGGATCTTACCCTTAGAAATAAATTAAGCAATAGTAGAAGTGAATTTGTCATGTAGTATAAGTTGACAGTTCATTATGGAATATCTGTACAGGTATCGAAACTCAATTTATCGCTTTGTAAGTACACAGACTTACCGCTGAGCCATAAGAAAGCTAGATTATAATAGCGGTATATCTGTGAACTTACGACGCTAGAAACCGGATTTAGATACCTGTGATGGACAGAGCAAAGATATCCCACTGTGTAGCTTTGTGCTTAACCTCAACCAAATCCAACGTTTTAATGATTATTTTTGAAATAATAGATTTTTACTCTCCGAAAGATTGCTTCCTTATGAATTTTCTGAAAAAAAAACAACCAAATTTTGACACTGAGTATAATGTATTATATTATTCTGGGAAGTAGTCTCATTTTATGACAAGGTGTTGGGATAAAATAGTTATTTCGAAGAGCTTATTTGTAATTAAGCACAAAGCTACCCAATGGGCTATCTGTGCTCTGCTCACCACGGGTATCGAAACCCAATTTCTAGCGTTATAAGTCTGCAGGCATTCTACTGTGCCACTGGGGAACTATTTCGAAAGGAACTTTATCGTTTGTCAGCACAATTAACCCTTTATCTACTATTGTTGACCTGTTTGCTTTAGCAAGTTTTCAAGAGTGTTTATTTATCAACTTTATTTCATATTTTCTAAAACGCTTGTTTTTTTGTTAGTTTGCTTTTATTTCTTAAACTTTGACGGCTAGTCAACACTCGTCATCAACACTTTGGTAACACTTATTTATGTGAACTGGTCGTCAGTAGTACCGGTCTATTTTGCTATAATGGACGTAGCGTGTATATATATGTATCAATGTATGTGACCGAAGTAATAATACAGAGTGGCGCCATCTATCGAATGATATCACAAATAAAAAACATAAACAATTTTACACTTTAGGTATTCAAGATTCAGACAATTAGAAAAATAACAACGGTATGTGTAACAACCCTTTCTTTATCACAGAACACAATTTTAGATAACACAACAATAACACGACTTTCACTAGGACTGTACGTGAGGGTTTGATTATATCTTCATTGACCTAACTTGTAAATATAATACTAATAGAATGGAGTTCTTAAACAAAACTGTTATTTTTTTCAATAAACTGTACCACTTTTAATATATAAAAACATCAGTTTATATCAGCACAATCAGAACACTTTTCCCGTGCAGTACTTCCCAGAAAAAAAATAATTTTTTTAGAAAATGTTCACTTTTTTCTCAGCGTTAAGTAATGGCGGGTTATTGTTGAGGAACCATATGTATGTGGCTTACTTACTTGAAGAGTGTTTGTTTGTTTTAGTGCAAAGTCATATGGGATTATCTGCTGTACCCACTGCGGGGAATCGAACCCCGAATTCTAGCGTTGTAAGTCCATAGACTTGCCGCTGTCACACCGGGTGACCTCATAAAGTGAGTTTATAGTGTTGAATTCAGGATAGGTGTTTCAATTGTAACGTCTGGTCCTAAACTGGCGGTATGGGATTTATATGTTTTATTATATAATTCCCCGTCAAACAAGAAAACGAAAACATTTAATTACATTTTTAATTGTCTGTAATGAATAAGAAGTATCAAGGCGTCATCATAACCAGGAATGGTAGTACGCATACGAAACCAACTGTACAAACACACACACATACATTACAGACATTACACATGCATACACGAAACAGATAGTACGCACACAAACACGAAACATAGCACACGCATACGCCCGAAACTGATAATATGCACACACAGGAGTACTCTTACCTTCATATATAGAGAAACAAAACAAGAATCAAATTAAATATTGTCTCTAATAACACAGCTTGGAACGTTTAAAATGTTTCGCGTTTTAGAAACTAACAAAAAGGACGTAGTATTTATACCTCATTGTAAAAAAAATACAAGTAATATGCCTTATCTTTACTTCCAGTTTTTGGTTTGGGTACCCTCACATCGCTTGGACTTGAAATCAGTTCCGCTTTCACACGACAAGATGCATGTGTTGACGAACTGAACATGTCACAACCTGTTCTTCAAGCTCTGTTTACCTTCCTCCAAATGTTATTTCTTTTTGTCAATGTCCAGGTGAGTCTCACACCTTTTGTTTTTATTTCTTTTATTCTCGTTTCTGTAACGATTTTATTTCATGTTTAAGGATTTAATTATAATTTATAACCGTCTTTATTTAATTTATTATTTCAAAACAGTTTCCTACCCTACATCATTCGAACTTAAATAATGGTTAATGATACATAAAACCTTTCAGTTGAAGCATGGATATTATTATAGTTGTTCTATACGATGGACTAAAATCCACTAGCAAGAAAACGAAAGAAAGTGAATTAAGAAAAAAAAAACTGTTTGAAATAAGTATAATTCTTTTTAGGGATGGAAAGCAAGCCTTCATATTCACAACTATTAATAAACAATGGTTTGTTTGTTTTCGGATGTTCGGATATATGGACTAATTTCGCATAGCCTTCCCTTGATTTGAATTAACACAAATGCGCTATGGCTGGCTATCCCTCGTTTTGAACTAACACAAGTGCGCTAAGGCCATCCCTCGTTTTGAACTGACACAAATGCGCTATAGCCATCCCTCGTTTTGAACTGACACAAATGCGCTATAGCCATCCCTCGTTTTGAACTGACACAAATGCGCTATAGCCATCGCTCATTTTGAACTACACAAATGCGCTATAGCCATCCCTCATTTTGAACTAACACAAATGCGCTATAGCCATCCCTCATTTTGAACTAACACAAATGCGCTATAGCCATCCTCATTTTGAACTGACACAAATGCGCTATAGCCATCCCTCATTTTGAACTGACACAAATGCGCTACTTCATCTATTTTTGGGCCTACTTTTACTGACAAGATAATGGGATTTGACAGTCACGTTTATATATGACAACCTTAAAGCTCAGAGCGCGAATTTGTTTTTTTGTTTTTTTTTGGGGGGGGGGGACAATGACGCAACACCACAGTCTGGCACACTGATCACTGGGCCACGCTCTGCCCATAAGAAATGGAAATAAGTGTTACATGTGTTGTGTTTAGTTATTTGTATTTTATCGGACAAAAAGATACGTTCCTATGATCAATATTAGGAAAAAAAAAACAAACAGTTTTCAACAACATGTCACAGGAACATAACTTTCAAACAGCATTATAAACAAAATATTTTGTGTTTTAAAATGTATTTTGAAGAAATTAACGGCTTTCGGTCCATTTTTTCTTCACATACACCCAATTTACAATCATGTTTGGTTTTCTTACAAATTAAAAAAAAGCAGCATCTGTATGTTTGTTTATAGTTATGCACAAAGCTACACAATGGGCTATCTGTGCTCTGCCCACCATGGGTATCGAAAACCGATTTCTAGCGTTGTAAGTCGGCAGACATACCGCTGTGCCACTGGGAGGCAAAAAAACAACATAAATTTAAATATATATATATATGCGCACGTTTCAATTAATTCAGTACAGGTGAAAAAGGTAAAAAAATAACTCTTACCAATATGATGAAACATTTGGAAACTGGAACCTGGAATAAATCATATCATTTTTTAATAAGCCTCTTAGTCAAGTAAAGGTGAAAAAATTAAGGATAATTCATCTTTTTTTTAGTTTAGTGCCACCTAGATCAGTCATCTAATGATCAGTCATGTGATCTGAAGTGCAAATAGTTTCACTGATCTCACAATATTGTTGTAGTAGTCAATTTGATCATAAGGTTTATAAAGTGCTCTAAACTGTTTACAAAAATGTTTTATTCATGCGAAGATTCATCTACAGAACGAAAACTAGCCAATTACAATAGGCTGTGCGAAATGGTTATACGTGTTTCTAAATCTATTTAGCAGAGCGTGAAAATTCTTTCCAACCAATTCGCAGTTTCTCTGACAACTGGACAGTATAGACAAACATCCACAGCTCAGCCAATCTACTGCTATTTGTTGATTTTAGCTTCCCAAACTCGTATTGTAACTGATTCTAAACTTACTCCGATATCTGAAGCCATATTAGTGCACAGACACTTAGAAACAGACTTCGCAAGGCTAATCTAATTTCCAGATGGCTAGTAAGATAAATTTCGCTCACGGGAAGGTACAAAACAGTTTGATTGTAATGATGTTAGAAACACGTCCAACAGGCCAAAACACATGTGAAGCAGCACCTGTTTTATTTCTTTGTATCACTGCTGAATTACGCGCTACACAGCAGCCAAATAAAAGCAATCCCTTTAAGCCTGTGTGTGGAATGTTCTTGAAAGATTCGTATTCCGTCAAATGGCTCCAGACACTAAATAGGCCCTACAAACAGTTCTCTCAGAGGATTGATAGAAAATATTAACTCGAATTTTATATAACACCAGTTCCAAGCGGCCCTTGTGACCATTCTTCAACACCAGTTCCAAGCGGCCCTTGTGACCATTCTCCAACATTAGTTTCAAGCGGCCCTTGTGACCATTCTCCGGCATTAGTTCCAAGTCTCTCTTGCTGCTCTGGTTATCATTCTTCAACACCAGTTCCAAGATGCCCTTGTCTCCATTCTCCGTACATTAATGAGAAAATGTTTCAAGCTTTAAACATGTTTATCAGATACGAGTCTTCCAGCAGAAACTGAACAACCAATAATTTTCATTTCGGATCACATGACAGGTTATCATATGCCTGTTTTGCTTACAAATAAACTGGAGGGATGGAACTAACATTATTTCATAACATCGGTTTCTTTTTATTGCTATAACTAAAGCATTAAAAATTCCCATAATACTTTAATTGTTTTGTATAGTTTACTTAAATACATAATGTTCATGACATGTCAACTTGGGTCCATAAATAACTTTTATCAAAGTTCATCAATCAGACATGTAGACACATTAATTGAAGTCTGTTACATCAGAGGAACGACATTAATGTTTCATCCAGACCAGTGCTTCTAAACCTTTTCCAATATCATTCACCATTTTAAGCTTTTCACGACAGTTCGAACAAAGACAAAAAAGCACTAAATTAAAATGCAAAAATTCTTTATTATGAGCTAAATATACATCAAACTACAACTAGAATGAATACAACATAAAACAACAACCTTGGATGAACCATGCACCTAGTTGAGAAGCGCTGGTCAAGACATACACAAGACCAACAATACGAAAATTCAAACCTTCATAAAAGTCTCATTTGAATTTCACGCAAAGCTACACGAGGGCTACCTGCACTAGCCGTCCCTAATTTAGATCTGAAAGGGAAGGCAGATAGTCATCACCACCCACCACCAACTCTTTCCTTCAGTCCAACACTGCTACATTAGGGACGGCTAGCGCAGATAGCCCTCGTGTAACTTTGCGGGAAATTCAAAACAATCCAAACTGATTGACAAAAAAAATAAAATAACTTTTGTCTTACAAAATACTTTTTGTAAATGTTTAACAATTATAAAATGTAAACCAAAAGATAGCTTCACATTATAACAATGTGTTGATTGCGACCTTTGTCGCAAGATGAAAATCAAACTTTGAAAGTCGAACATAAATCTTGGCCCCAGAATAATCCATATTCTCTAAGTTTCTCATTGTGCACGCAAACAATAAACAATGTTCAACTACGTGTATCTGATAATAAACAAATCTTTTCTGTCTAAACAATGTTCAAATTGTACTTTTAACAATGGTCGTCAAAACTTGCTTAACAAACATCAATACATCCTGTTCTTTCTTATCATCATTTTTTTCGAAATTGTTAACATCCCAGTTTCTTGTAATATATAATCTGTTTACTTAATATTCAGTTTCAATATATCGTTTGGGTCAAAACATCACTGGAAATGTCCGTAGCGTCAAGAGCAAAATGATTACTAGCTTCACAAACGTATACCTTTTCAGACACTTTGATATCGGAGTGAGCCGAGCGCGGCCCTCTTTGTGAATGTGAGGTTCTGTAGTTCGCGGCTTGTTACAATAAATTCAACAAACAAAAACAAACTTTATGCATAACCCCACATAGTTACATTTGTATTTATAATTTATCTTACAAAATATTTCCACAATCAGAACTGTGATTACCCCTTTCAAATGTAAAGTTTCATATAAAACATTTAAATTGTACA